AACTGACTGAAGTATAGAATATGCTTGCAACATACTTTGACTAACAATGTGACATGTGTACTTTTACCAGCATGTTTATTGAAAAACAATTGAGAAATGAAAATAAAAGTTTTGCTCACCAAACCCAAATTACACTTCTCTCGAAAAATCAATCAACAAGAGTTCCACGATCTCATACCTTCGCCAAATGATGTTAACCCTTGCGGTTGAAGAATAATACAATTTTGATAATTGATTTTGCAAATAAGAGCCTCATTTGCATGGATTACATCAGTTGATCATATTCTCCACCCAATGGCAGTCTTATCTTAACAAAAAGGCTTTTATAGCACTTCCTCATAAATTATGCAAATGAGGTCATGATTTGAATAAATTATGTTTATTGTTGTTCGCCTTCACTTAACTTCCAAATGTGGCAAGTATGAAATTCCCAGCAGTTACAACTATGAAATTTTTAAAATTTTCCTATTAATTATGCAAACTAGGTCTTCATTTACATAATCTATATCCTCAGTATGTTTTTTTTCATTCTCAATTACATGTCACAAGTGTTTCATAGTCCTATTATTGAACAAAGCAGATTTATAGAATTTCCTCATTAATTATGCAAATTATCTCCTGATTTGCATAATTGTCATTTGATTATGTCAAGCATCCCTTCAGCTACCTACATACCAAAAATCACAACAATCCGTCAACCGGTTCTTGAGTTATCATCATTCAAAAACTTTTCAACAAATGCTCCTGCAGTTCCAGAACAAGCCGCTAGGGGCCCCAAACTCATGTCACTTCTTCCCTACCTCAAGAGCTATCTACCAACCAAAATTCGTGACCCTAGCATGTCCAGATCGCGAGATATCAAAACCGGAAGTTCTGCTGCAGTACCAACAAAAGCCGCCAGGGGGCCCAAAATCTAATCATTTCTAGGTCTCATTAAGACCTACCCACCTACCAAGTTTCATGACAATGCATACTAAGCTTCTTGAGTTATGCTGTTCACAGACGGACAAACGCTACTGAAAACATAACCTTCTTGGCGAAGGTAATAACGTTATATCTGGTATCTGGTACCGGTGCCATATTGTGGATATAATATGATACAAAGAATTTCATCCTGGCAGTAACTTCAGATACATCCATGGCTTGGTTGCTTCGATCAAGTGACGGAATCAACAGTCAATGAACCGCACTGACACTGCCGTTAGTCATACATTTGTTCCCATTATTTATAGGTATAGGATGTAAGTAGAATTGTACATGTCCAAGTCTATCTACTGTACGACCATTCTATAGTGTGCACTTTTCCTTGTTCACTGCCAAAAAATAAAACACTTGTAAGACTATGAGGTGACACAGACGTGATCTGGCCAAAGAAAACCGTCTATGTTCACGCGTTAAGGTTTAAAAATAAAAACCGCACCGTGTTACATATACCCACTAGTGTTACGTGAACACAAGTACGTTACGTGTACACACGTGTGTTACATGCACACAAGTATGTTACGTGTACACAAGTGAGTTACATGTACGTAATGCCAGCCCTTGCATTTCTGCCCACTCCGAACGCCATGATTGAAAAGTCAGGTCATTTGCTACTGCCATATCCCCTCGTCAGAAAAGGCTCCGGCCATGTTTTTGCCACGCTGCTTGACCAACGTAGGAACTGCCCTGTTCATCTGTTTACATTTGTCAACATTGATGGATTGTATGGAACTTGGCCGTACACAACAGCGGGCGAACGTCAAATCGGAGAAGGCCTACTATCTGTCGGTGCAGATCATATATAAGTTGTTACTCATGGCGCCCATGTCTCGTGATAACACAACTTCCATGGCGTCTATGTCTCATGTTACTCTTCGTCTGACCCCATGAATGGCTGGAGAAACAATCCCAGGGTTCCCAGGAAGCAGACGGTAGCGAACACCCAGAGGCAGATCCGGTCTATCACCATGGCAACATACTGCCAGTCTCCCGCCACCTGTAGGAAGGACAGGGGGTTATAGACATGGTTGTAACGGCAGCAGTAAACTTGCTGATGAAAATTGGGTAGAACGCCTTAAGTTTGTACATTGTATCCCTCCTTTTTTCTAGCTATGGAAGGTTCTCATCTTTCCAAAGCGTAGTTCCCTTTAAACATGAACCGACCGGCCTACCTCGTCTTAGTTACAGGAGACCGTATCAACAGCGTGTAAACCTGAGAACATCACACACGATGGTAGGACGGGACTCTGAGCTGTAGGTCTTGTAATAATAAGCCCGAGGTAGAATTGTTACCCGCTTGCGCACCACCTTTCCATATTGACAGCAGTGCTGTCATTTTCATTGTTAGAAAAGAGCTATATGGCGGAAGTGTATCAAGGAATACTCGACCACTTGACAAACTCACCCCATCATCCTCATCTTGGTTGCGGAAGTACTCGGAGATGAGCTTGAGGTTTTTAAGCGCTTTCCTAGCCTCGGGCGACAGCCGCTTGGGCAGGACGGAGGGACTGGGCGGCGCCTGGCCGAACCGGCCGGATCTGGGGCTGTCCGCCTTGAAAGGGTTTCCGGACATATCAGTCACGCGCAGCCCGAAGTTCCGCCCCTTCGTCTCCACAGACCTGCAGACACAGGAGGACACAGGACGGGTTACGCACGGGTATCTACAGACCTGCGTACACAGGACCAGTTACGCACGGGAACAGCACTCGGCCAGAAGCTTCGGGATGTATCAGCCCAACTGGTTTCATACATTTTAATCTATGTCCATACAGTTCATCATCACCATACCAATGTATTTGTTGTGACCAGTCGTTGACATAGCCTGATGCCCAGTCCAATCTAGATGTATGTGTTTGTGTGTGCGTGCGCGTGTGTCATTAACATGAAGTACGGCGTCAGGTGTTGTACACGTAGGCTGGAGCACGTGTGTGTATATACAAATGTGCATGTGTGCGTCCATGCGCGTTCGTGCGTGTATGCGTACCTGCCGTTAACGTTCTTCATGAAGTACGGTGGGTGGTCCCAGGTGTTGTACTCCTTGGCGGGCGGCTCGGGCGGCTCGGACTCGGGACGCTCCATGCGGAGCAGTTTGGGCAGCTTCTCCAGGAACACGGCCTTGACCCAGTCGGGCATGTCGTGCGTGCTGGAAGTTCTGTGGTGCACGTTCAGCACGTACACCGTCGCCACGATCGCCACGCTAACGAAGATCATGGTGAAGAGCAGGTACTTGCCGATGAGCGGCACGTCCAATGACGTGGGCGGGATGATGTCGGCGATCAGCAGCAGGAACACGATCAGCGCCAGCAGGACCGTGATGCCGAGCGTCACCTTCTCGCCCTCATCAGCCGGCAGGTAGAACACCAGCACCGACAGGGACGTGATGAGGATACACGGGATGATCAGGTTGATGGTGTAGAACAGAGGCTTCCGCTTGATGATGAAGTCGAAGTTGACGTACACTCGGTTGTCTGCGTAGTACTTTCGGTTTGGTGAGCGGAGGATGTCCCACTCGCCGTTCTGCTTGTACCTGGATGCGTGAATTAATAATTTGGTAATAAATGAATGAAGGAGCTAGCGGAGGGATAAAGTATAAACTAATAATTCTTGAACATTGCAGAAAAACGATGAATTAGTTAGAATTTTGCAATCATCATTTTACAATTAAGTAGGTATACGTAAGCTATTATAAAGCCGTGTATTAACAGATTATAGTTCCGGGTATTAACATTAACAACTCAACTTCTGTTAAAAGAATATTTGTCCTTCAGCTTTACCTGTACGTCTGCTGTTACAACAACCTTCGCAAGTATTATTGCAAGTATTATTTCTGTATCTGCTTTTACCAAAACCCTTGCCATTTGGCATTACCTGTGCACCTGCAGTCCTTAAGCCTTAATACCCATGCATCTGCCCTTAATAATCATCACTGTAATCACCTGTGCATCTGTGCCTCCCGTCCAGCAGCGTCAGGTCCAGCTCATCGGCGTCATACGTCCAGGAGCCGAACTTCATGGTGCAGTTCTGCTTGTCGAACGGGAAGTACTTCACCACGATAAACAGGCACTGCCGTAAACTACGGGAGGCGCCCAGTGCACGTGGCCGTCGCTCTGCACCGACGCCTTGGTCATTAGCTGGATGTCGTAGTTTCCATCAGCGCTGAAATTTAAATTATATGGCATGATTTTAGGCCATAACTTGACAGAATGTGTGTCCCTCAGTGAAGTCGTGCTCGGTGAATCGTTCCGATGTCCGTGCAGATTATTACTGTGGAGATGCGGTTTCGTTCTGAATGTGCTAAACAATACACTCAGCTAAAGTTGTAATGTTACCCCTTACTTGTTGAACAGCACGACGTCCGGTCTCCAGATGTCCTCAGACGACACCCGTACCATGTCGATGTTGTCAAAGTCCTCGGGGTTCCAACTGAGTCTGTAATCGTACCAGTCCTGTCCGAGCCACAGGTTCGTCTTCATCATCTGTTCCCGCTCTTCCTGCATGTCCATCAGAAACGTCAATCATTTCAAACACACGTCGATCAGCTCAAACACACGTTATTCATATATAATCAGCAGATTCTGTAGTCGTACCAGTCCCATCATTTGCCACGAAGCATTGTGAAGGATCATGAAGGACACAAACGATGGTACTTACCTACTTCTGTGAGCTACGAAAAGACGACAGTGGTATTCACTACAGATATGAGCTTCGAGAAGATAAGACGACAGTGGTACTTACTACAGCTATGAGCTGCGAGAAGACGACAGTGGTACTTACTACAGCTATGAGCTGCGAGAAGACGACAGTGGTACTTACTACAGCTATGAGCTGCGAGAAGACGACAGTGGTACTTACTACAGCTATGAGCTGCGAGAAGACGACAGTGGTACTTACTACAGCTATGAGCTGCGAGAAGACGACAGTGGTACTTACCACAGCTATGAGCTGCGAGAAGACGACAGTGGTACTTAATACAGCTATGAGCTGCGAGAAGACGACAGTGGTACTTACCACAGCTATGAGCTGCGAGAAGACGATCTGTAGGTTGACATTCACGACCTCGCCCCGGGTCTGCACAGGCCGGATGACTTTGTTGTAGCCTGAGTCGAACAGGTGATTGATGAGGCGGTGCTCCGAGTCCGAACAGCGGGAAACTGTCAGGAAAATGAAGTAACAGCGATTTTAACAGAAGTTAGTAATTTTCAGAATGTATCAGTGATCTATGATCAAGTGGAGGCAATTGAACTTTATGACATTTAGCCCTCCATGAAGGCTGAATGATAACGATGTGTTCACTTAATAGTAACATAAGCGAAAGATAGAACTTCATAACGATTGACACTTTAAACATAGCATAGTATACTTACCTCGTTTGCGTGCTGACCTAACCAATCAAACCTTTTCTGTTCGTTATTTGAACAGCAAATATTGTCCCAATTTCACACACATTTGGGGAATGTGGCATGTTGGCCTCTCATTTACGTTACAAGATAGATTTCATTCCCACAGATTCTACACTGCTAGGTAAATCATTTGCATTGTACTAACTTGCATCCAATGCAATTTGAGGACGAGGGCGGCAATACAAAAATATACTGGATGAGGAAATCTGTCTGATATTGACAATTACTGCCATTTCTTAACACATTTATGTCATCATTTCATACTTGAAGCGTATGAAACGGCACCCAAAACCTAAAACTGTGATAAGTCCCTGTCCTGTACGGCAATAAATAGAACCAACCTACAAAACGAAGAAACCGTTTTCCGTCATCAACATTGCATTTTTCCTCACAGATATCCGTATGCTATTTGATGGAGTTTATTCAACTTACTATATGTGAGCAGAAAATTGATTTTGACTGCCCTGAAATCTCTTTCAGTGCGTCCCAAAACCCCCAACCCCAACCCCGGCCTTGTCATTACATTAACCGTGTAACCTGATCCTAAGTTCAACGCGCTTCTGTAACCTGATCTGAAGAGTCGGTCAACGTACGCGGGCCTGTCGGGCTATTTATGTGATATCCAAGCAGATGTGGCGCACGGTTTCTGTTGTACGTCTTTCTCGTCTTCCGTGTTAAGGGGATGCTGCAGGGATGAAATATACGCCATACAAGATGGCCTGAAAAAAGTCGGACCCTACATCTGCTCGATCAGAGATTACTGTTTATGGGCATAGAATCCTCTCCAACCCTGGGAGAGAAAAGTTATGAACCTGCTTAATAGTCACGCAACTATGTTTAACTGTTAATGCGTGCACATTTTTACGTGTACATCATTCTATAAATCTAAGTTTGACTAAATAGGAAAAACACGAAGGACGAAATGTTCAGGAACAGCCAGCAAAATCGTAACGGAGGAATACACGGTTAAATGGAGGGGGGGGGTACTGTTGACATTAGTGCAGTCCGTCAGGAGCTTGTTATGAGACGAGTTGACCAACTAAAAATAATCCAATGACGCACGCTGTTATTTAGGATTTCATGGAGAACACTTGGCCTTTTCTAATTTATTTTCCATGACGAGCGGGGAAAATTGCCTTACCTTGCAGAGTCGCTACCAGCAGAACAAGCCCGTACCAGTGGAGGGTGGCCATGTTTGGACCGGGCTTCTCTCGGTCTGGGCGCGGGTCGGGGTCAGCTCTCCTCCCGCCGAACGGTCGGTCTCGGGCCGGTGTAACGTTTCACATGCCTGCGTGCTGACGCTGTGCCGATATTTGGCGATGGTGTTCCTGCAATGCGCGCCGCTCCCCGCCCAGAGGTAACAGCTGGCGGAGTCGCGTTTCCGACTTGTTGGTCGTCCCGTCGGACCGGCCGGTGATAAGAAGGGCTCAGGCTGCCGCACAGAGCCGCCGGGAACATTCAATCATACCTACTCACTCATAACATATGTTTAGTTATTGTTGACCTCTCTTTGACTTTA